TATGGTTCGACAGAGGTGGGGAGTACCTCAGTGTGGAGTTCAACAAGTACCTGAAGGATCTAGGTGTTGAGCATCAGCTTACTGTTCATGACTCCCCACAGCAGAATGGTGTAGCAGAGTGTTTGAACCGCACCTTGGTAGAGCATGCACAAGCCATGCTTATCGCCAAATCTCTCCCAATGTTCCTGTGGGCCAAGGCTGTGAATTACGCCACATGGCTGAAGAATCGCCTACCTTCACGAGCAATCCCTGGGCACACTCCCTATGACCTGGTGCACCACGCCAAGGTGAACCTCTCACAGGCGCACAAGTTTGGCTGCCGCCATATACGTCCATCTTCAGGATACGGGCAAGCTTGAGCCATGGGCGGAGGAGGCACCATTTGTGGTGGTTGATGCTGAGAGTAAGTGCTATAGGGTGTACTGGCCACTGAAGCGGTGGATCTCTGTGGAGTGCAATATAACATTTGCGCCCATGGAGGTCATAGTTGGAGAGGATGCCCAGAATGAGGGGGAGTCCATGCCTGTGAGCACTAACACAGGCACACAGAGTGCAAACACACCTAGCATTCAGGTCACCTCACCTCCCCAGCCTCCTCCCATCACTCCAAGCAGACCCTCCCAACGACCCTCAACACCACCAGTGCCACAATTGACTCGAATGTGTCCACCTCCAGGTTACTATGCTGCCCTGAATCTGGGGGAAACTGCTAGCATTGCAGTTGAGAGCAGTTTTGAGCCTGAGGAGTCAGATTTTGTAGATGAGCAAGTACTCATGCACCATGCAATGGCCGCAGTCAAACCAGAGGTCACACTCCAGCAGGCGCTAAACAGTCCCAACACCATCAAATGGCAAGAAGCCATCAACTATGAGATTAGTCAGCTGGAGAAGTTGGGCACATGGACAATGGTAGACACACCTGCACGTGCAAACCTCATCCCTTGTCATTATGTCTTGGCAACAAAATGCAGACCTAACAGTGAGAAGCTCAAGCTCAGAGCTCAGTTAGTAGCAAATGGTCAACACCAGAAGTACAGCATCAATTACTTCAACACCTTTGCTCCTACCTTGAACATGTCCACCATCTGTACTGTCTTGACGATGGCGGCCCAAAATGACTGGGAAATACACCAGGTCGACATCAAGAGTGCTTACCTTTATGCAGAGCTCAAGGAGGACATCTATATATGGGTGCCACCAGGATACTTGAAGAAAGGAGATGAAAGGAAGGTCTTGAAGTTGCTGAGGAGCCTACCAGGTTTGAAGCAGGCTGGATGTGAGTGGTTGGAAGAGTTGGTGGGAGTGTTTTTGAAGCTGGGATTCAAACGGTCACACATCAACCAGGCTGTTTACTACAAGTGTTCGGATCAAGAATATACTGTCATTATGGTGTCCATCAATGACATCTCCATCACATCACAAAGTTCAGGGACGAACTCACCCAGTACTTTGAAATCTCGGACTTAGGCAAGCTCAATTGGCTCTTGGGGCTTAAGGTTGAGTGGAACCGTGCAGAACACACCATCACGCTATCACAGCAGGCTTACATTGACACCATTCTAGAGTGCTTCTATCTGACAGATGCCAAGAGCATGCAGACGCCGATGGAGTCAGGTGCAGACTTATCTGACACACAGTCTCCTGTAACCCATGCTCAACATGAGACAATGCAAGACGTACCGTACCAGTGCAGCATCAGTTCATTGATGTACATGGCCATGAGCACTCGTCCAGATATAGCCTTCTCAGTTGCAATGCTCTCGCAATTCGTACACGACCCTGGCACTGCTCATTGGGAAGCAACCAAGCGTGTACTTCATTATCTGAAGGGAACTGCTAACTACGGTATCACCCTAGGTGGCACAGATGCTGGGCTAGAGGCCTATGTAGATGCAGACTGGGCCTCACAGGCACATCGCCACTCCATGTCCGGCTATATTGTCTTACTCAATGGTGGCCCCATTGCCTGAAGCACACGGAAGCAGTCCATAATTACATTGTCAATGGCTGAGGCAGAATAGATTGCTCTGACAACTGTTGGACACAAAATCCTATACCTGCAGCTACTCATTGAAGAGCTGTACGAGTCCCCAAGCCTCCCTACGCCGATCTACTATGATAACCAGGCAGCCATAGCCCTAGCATCAAACAACAAATTCCACTCATGTATGAAGCACATCAACCTTCAATATCATTTTGTCAGATCCCATGTCAAAAATGGTACATTCAGCCTCACCTATTGTCCAACCGAGGACAACATTGCCAATGCTTTCATGAAAGCCCTTCTGCACCCACACCTTCAAAGACTGCAAAGCTTGATGAGCCTGGATTGCACTCAAGGGGGAGTGTTGAGCTCTGACGCATCGGGAGGATTGGAGGATGGACCGAAGGGTATGCTAGCAACATCAGAGTGAGACATGTTGAGTGCAACCAAGCTAGGAGATGAGGTGACGCATTGATGTCAGCCGAGGTCTGTTGATAATTGGACTTCATCCCTATGCCATCTTATATTTCATGTAACTATACTGACTATGTATAAAGCTATGAGTATCTCATTCAAACATCTCAGTTTCTATCAGATACTGAGATGTAAGCCACCATATTTTCTACACTATACAGAGTGCTAACTAGATGTAGAATACATTCTCTTGTCAGCTCACTCTCCATGTCCAGTTGAAATTATTACTAAAGTCAGAATGAGAAGAGACACACCATGTCTGTTTGGAGAGATGAATGAAGAACAAGACTGCACTAATATTGTATTTCCTGAGTTGCTATTATAAATATGAATTTGAACGACCAGCCGAAGGCGGGAGTCTTTGTATATAGAACGATTTCTCCACGCTTATTTCCAATCACTTCCAATTTTCAATGGAATTTTACAGATTTGTTGACAGGCATGTGTGGTGTGTACTGATTTACTTACTTCTCTGCATGATAATGGTCCGTACCACCCTAGCCACATCAATATCATCTACACTACTAGCACCAGATTTCATGTGGACAGTTTTCCCCTCTTTGTCAATACTTCTCTCAATGATATGCTTGATTGACACCCAGAACTGTTATCAGCAACCACATTTAACACAAATGCGCGTCGCAAGCAACTCATAGTAAATGTTGTTGTTGCTCTTGATCCTTCTATTGAAGTCATAAGCAGAGTTTCAAATTATCTGTCTCAGCTGATGTTTCATAGATTGTATACCTCTTCTATTATCTTGGGATTCTCTTGCAGACTGGGTACCCTTGCTGTGTGCATATGCCTTTGCGTTTCTTGCCATTAAGTTTCTCACCACTGTTGCATTGTTGTGTTTGTTGTGCAGTAGGTATACCTATCGGTGTGTTTTCTGTGCCACTAATTGTTGGTATTTTACCAGTGTTCTTCATTGCTCTTCTTGGGGATACTTTCTTTGCCTACTCTGCAATGTCTGGCACAATCGTCCTACTCTTATTTGCATTTGACAGGATATTGCGCAGACCTGAGTCACTGTAGCCTTGTATATGCCACACATAAATCATCTGTCACTCATCATCCAGGCGTCAATTTCACCTGGCCCCACAGAATTCAGTTTTATGTAAGTCTGGTCAAGCTAGAGATCGAAATTTTCATACCATCCCTTATTGCTTGACAATCAGTTTGAACAGGTTTGAACCAGGTTCGAGAATTCTGCAAGTCCTCAAACTGTGGACTGGACCAACAGTTTGGTTCCCCCTATTGCCCGAACTTTGAACCAGACCTTGGTCAGGTTTGAAATGGTTTGGGTTCAAACCGTGGTTCAGGACCAGACCTGGCCATCACTATCACACCCAGTCTTTCTTGTGGTGTCAGTGACATGCTTTTCTATGGACACATTGCCTCAGGCTTGCATGTGCTACCTAACAGATATGCCATGATCTTGTTCTGCTGCTTGTTTTTATTTTTGTGCATTGTCTAATGTTCACGTGATTGTCACGATCATATCTTCCATATGAAACACACAATGCCAATATTTGCATCACTGCCCCATGAAAAAATGGACCATACTCTGCATACACTAGTAACTTACACAATGGCAGTAATCAGCGTAATATAGGCAACTGAAATGATCAATTCATACAATGGAACATATAGGAACCCTCTTTGGATAAAGCTATAAACTTAGATCACGGTTCTAACAGGTACTGTTAAGACCATGCTCATGGGTAAGACAGAGTCTGAGGGGCTTGGCTTCAGCTCGTACACTGCGCCCCTTACCCGAGTACGTGCCCCTAATTTCAGATTGTAGTCCAACTCAAGTTCTACAAGCTCTGACAGGACGTTGGAGTGGAGGTCCTCTTCATGCACTTTAAAGTTGTGATTGGATGACCACAGTCTTTCTGAAGTCTTACATGTCCTGCAATGTATAAGAACCTTTTTTGTATAAATCTACAATTTTAGAGGGCAATTTGGTGGGACACCATTAATTCTGCTGTATTATCTCATTAAACATCATGCTTAGAGCATAATCCAATCTGTCACTTTATGCTGAAGATGACCACCTTAAGTTTTTCTTGTGCCCCAGCTAGAGGAGCTCAGTCTTTAAGTAACCTGTTAGTGAATGCATGCAACTGAGAGGGTTTGCAAAGTTTGAATGAATGTGTGCAAGTCAAACCAGCATAAACTCAGTCTGGAAAGACAAGTAGAAGGATTTAGAATAGGATTGAGCACATCAAGAAGCTTCATTTGATCGGAGAGCTGGAGAGCTTTACCAGGTTTGAACACATGTGCAAAAAAATTTCTACTGGAGGGGCTTTGCCAGGTTTGAATGTATATGTGCAAGTCAATCATCCACATAACTTCGGTCAGGAAAGACAAGTAGAAGCATATAGGATAGGATTGAGTGCATCAAAAAACATTGTTTGTTCAGAGAGGCTTTGCCAGGAATGAACCATCAAAGAATTTATATTCGAGTTTAAGAAATAATATATGGTTATCTAGAGTGTGAACATCTGCTAGATACTTGTGCATGAGAACATGGTGACTAGTGTGTTAAGGAGAATCCCCCTTGTGTACTTCCCTCTGTGAACTCATTCTTGTAACTGAAAACCTCCCAAGCTGTGCTGAAGTAAGGGAAACTGTATGAATCTTTCTGAACACTTTCCTGCAAGCGATGTGGAAAGTTAAAATATGAGACATAACAATCATAAAATTTACCTATTCCACCATTTGAGCAACTCATTGATGTGTGGCTGAGCATCAGTGCCCGGTACGACCTCAAAAAAGTCCACAATGTTGTTGTAGAAATAGTAGTAGTTGAAGTCTCCATCAACACTTCACCAGGAGTTGATGTTGGAAAGGGTGAAATAAAGCTATACCCACAATCAGTTTAAAAAGTCAACACAGCAGAAAATTTGACAAACCTGACAAGCTGTGTATGCAATGGCACATGGGGTTACTGTCTTCATACCAATGATGTTAGCTACATGACTATGGTTGACCATGTCATTCTCCAAGGACTGACAGTGTTGAGATGCTGTGATGACATCAGCACCATTGCCATCACTGTCAATTTCTTTGGTAAAGGGCAGAGACATAAAGAGGTGTTTGAATGCCTGCACAAATAAGCAGCGCCACCCTCAATACGTGGTAGAACTTACTTTGAGCAGCAGAGTTGAGTGAAAGAGACCTTTCTCGATGTTGGCTGAGTCAAAGGAGTGGTCTTTGTACATAAACACTGGCCAAGAGTAAGTGGTAACTAGGAAGTCTGAATCCCTGTCTCTAATCTTGTCCTTGGTCCTATTGTAATGGTGAAAATGACATCAATGCTAAATCACGTTAATGATACATACAAAGAGAGAGACCAAATGTACTTAACTGGACACAAGAGCATGCTGGTGGTGTTATGAACAAACCCACAATTGTCTTTGATTGTGGTGCAAAGGGGGGGGGGGGGGGTCCAATGGATGAAAAAAGTTCAGTAAGCCATGACACTACTGCATGTTTGAGATTTGCGGTGTCATCCCCTTGTGCACTGTCTGTGCCTTTTCACAGCTGAGAACATACAGTGAGTAAAGCAGAAATAGGGCCAGGACAAATGTTCACCTCTTTTAAAATTGAATCCAATTCCTCAACATCTGAAAAAAGTTTCTTCTTTAGCCAAGGGAGGCAACAAAGGAGTTCGTTAAAAGAACTGAATGTCCTGTCTTCGCTGGTCAAAGTTAGAATATGACAGCTACACTGTGAATAAGAACATACACTCGACTTGTAACAAGCTCATGTTGGGAATCAAGTGATTGCAGTAACTCATTGTGTCAATCATTTTTGGCCACAAGGTCCTCAAGGCTGTTGAACAAAGAAACGAGCTGGTGAATTCCCTGTCCTTTGTGTACATTAGAGTTGGATTATCTGTGTGCATTACAACCAAACTGAATAAGAGCTCATCATGCATGTAAAGGGAGGTTTGGGACTCATGGCTTGCTCTGCTTGCTTGCCCTAATAGTTTCAAGCTCCTGCTCCAGAGCCGCAATATGTTGATTGGCATGGGCAACAGCAGTATCATCCTCACAGTCACTATCAGATTCTTGTTGTGGTAACTGAGCCATGAGGATCAACTTGGGTGCAGGACAAGCAACTTACAGGCAGTGCAGTGTTCAATGCTCATATCATATTTTGAGATAGAACTGTACTTGGTATGAAGGCAGACATACACTTGCTTGAGATGCGGTGGAGCTCAAGGTGTTCCAGAACCTGCTCGCTTGAGGTGTGGAGCCATTCACTTGTAAGCCCCACATAATGTGGTGTCATTCTGCAAACATTGAAATAGTGTTGCCATCAAGGTGAGTTAAACTCAATGTGAAATTGACTCTGTTCGAAAATGACAAAAATCATTTAACTTAAAAATCTGATTTGAACCAAGTTGCAACTCATTGGGTTTGAGATTTACAATTGATTTGGTGTACTTAATATCCACACATTGGCATCCCCTGTGAATGGCCTGAGGCCCATATGAATATCTAAAAAGTAAGGGAGAAGGCAAGGGGGGGGAAGGTGGGAGGATTTGGACATCTTTGCATGGCACACAAGGTTTCAGCAGTGTCTGTTGTTTTGGTTGTTTTGGTTATCAGACCTTTTAGGAATTTTTTTGCATGCTTTTCATTTTCAGAGTTCCATTTCCCTACGAGTTTTGAAACCTTTGCAATCTAAACACCTCTTCTCCCCCACCATCTGTTTCCTCACATACTATTGTTAAAATTGTTGAAATATCATCTCCCCAGTGATTATTTGTAAATTTGTAGTGAAATTCCCTTCCTGGGGTAAGATTTACTTATTACTTATTTAAATACAAAAATAAAAATAAAAATAGTGATTTTCACTTTTCTGCTGTTCTTGGACTCCATTTTGGACCATTTGGACCTCCCTTGGACCCCTGGACCCCCTGGAACCCCCCTGGAACCTTTTGGAGAGCAGGTTTGTGTGGTGTGTTTGTTATTTGTTTCTGGGCCCAAATCCCACAGAGAACTGGGGAAATTGGGTACTTAAATACAAGACAAACATGTGAGCAGTCTTGTGGGCATCTTTTACAGTTGTCAAAGACTGTCCTATGACATCTCCATGTCAAGTCCTACCTCCCTGGCTGCCTGTTTTTATGGGTGTGTGCTGGTTGCTATCAGCTTTTGCTGGGACCTTTAATAGTACTACAGTGCAGAGATTTGGTTGGCAGGACACATTTTGCGTTGAGTCTGACTGCTGGGTGTTCTATCTGGCAGTTGCTCACAGTTGCCTTTCTATCCCCTAGGATAATATCTTGGACAGCATTTTTGTTGTCTTCAGCACTGTCATACATTGATTTCCTGACACAATCCTGTCCTCAGGAGGCTCAGACTTCTTCAATCACCCACACACACCCACTTTGTTGGATTCTGACCTATGTGCATAATGCGTCTCTCATGTCTTCCTCAACTAATTTTGCTGCAGTGGTGTTTCTATCCTATCCATTGCTAGATTTTGCCCCATTTTTCGATTTTGTTGCTACATACTGCCATGTTTGTATATAATTTATATATTTTTATGAAGTCCTGCTAATTAATTAATTTCTCCTTAGGCTTCCTTCAACTCCACCCACTTCTCCTCAATGAGCTCAGTCTGCTGCACATCAAGCTGAGAGAAATCAATGTAATCTTGGCTCACCTCCTGCTTGATGTTTACTGCAAAATGACCCTGCACCTGGAGCACCAGATGCTGCCTATATTGTATGTGTATTTTAATTTAAAACATTGACTGTTACCAACATATCCTATTCAGAATATTTCTCATATGCTAGGAAATTTAAATCATGCTCAGATCCCTGTGCAGAGATTTCCTGAAATTCCACACAATGCAATTGAGCATCATGAAGTGCATCATCAGTGGCATGCTCATCACCCACTACCACCCCTGCCTGCTCCAGGGTTTGGCTATTTTCCTCCTGCTCCTGCTCCTGCCCCTGACTATCCTCCAGGATTTGGTGGCTATCACCCTGCTCCTGCTCCTGCCCCTGCCCCAGCTCCTGTCTATCCTGCTGCTTAAATGCCGATGTATGGTGCTGTATATTATGAGGGTGCAGCTCACCCTCAAAACATGCAGAACGCCCATCCCTTTCCTCATGAACCTGGTGCTCAGGGAGTATGTGTCAACCACAACTTCAACCTCATGGAAATTTTCAATCGTGCTCATGAGGAACATTGAAGGTAAAGATGTAATAGACAAAGTCATGCTCCCAATCCACCGCCTCCTGATCTACCCCCTGTTCCCAATCCTCCTAATCCTTATCAACCTCCTGCTCCATTTAATCCTCCTAATCCTCCTCAACCTCCTACTCCTCAACCTGAACCTGATTATGCTCAGTTTAATGTTCAGTTTCATCACCATTTGCAGATGTTGCAAAATCAGGTTGAAGACATGGAAGATCCACATCTTTGCCAAGTGAGGGAGGAAATAATACAGCAACAAGCACAGGAGGCTCATCATCAGCAACAGCTTCATGAACAGTTGCAGCAACAAGCATAGGAGGCTCACCAGTAGCAACAGCTGCAGCATCATCAGGATCAAGAGATACATAGGCAAGCATATATTTTGCAAGCCTAACAATAAGCTCTCTTGCATGCACAGGAAGAGGAAGCACATTATCATGAGATAGCTCAGCAGGAGCAGGAGCATCATCTTCAGGCAGAGCAATGCAGGCTTGCACATGAGGCACATATGGAGGATGCTTGGCAGGACTATCATAATCCAGGATCACAGGAGTAGCATGAACAGGATGAGGAGAGAAGGAGAGCTCAGGAGTGAGAACATCATCAGCAGGATAATCCAGAGGATCAGCAAAATACTGATCAACCACCACTACCACAGAACATTCCTGTTCCTGTTCAACAACCACCTCAGAATGCTCCTGTTCCTTCTGAAGGTCATCCATATACAGAGACTATCAATTATCACACTGTTGGTCCTCTCACTGTAGAGTGTCCTGACTGTCATGCCCGCCACTTTGCAACTGAAAGACTCACCAATTCCTCTGCATGTGCTCCAAAATTTGGCATGTGTTGCTTGTAGGGCCAAGTTGATCTTCCACCCCTCTGTCATATTCACAATCCAGACAAGTCTTCTCCACCCTTAGTTAATATCCTCCACCCTCATTCTTAGTCCTCTACCCTCCTATATGCTCCTCCGCCTCTTAAAATGTATCTCCAATGTCAGGTACATTCCTCCGCCCCTGACTTAATCAAAATATGAGGCACCTGTCAGTTCATTCCAAGTTTCCTTTGTATAGTCTGTTTTCCATCTAGTCTTGTACCTTGTATGATCCAATCCTCCATTCTAATTTAGCTTGTTATATACTATGGTTCGTTGTCCCTTTTATTATTACTTTGTACTCCGCTGTGCTGTGCCGCATAGCCCAGATTCTTGTAGTATGTATATAAACCCTATGTATTCCAGTATTGCTTCTACAATATGAATATAGACTCAAACCTATCCTAACCACCCCCGACTCAACTTAAGTCCCACTTGTTGTCTAGTCCAACTTTGAGACTTATCTTACCGACCTCTGCTTCTGTCTTCCAACAGTCCTTGCCTTACTTTCTACATTGGACTTAGTCCCTCATAGCCTTACCTGTGTCAGAGCATGTTGGACATAGTTCCCTACTACTGAACCTCTGTCGGAGCACATCGGAGTTGATCTTTGGCAGCCCCCATCCGTCCTCTGAAGTTAAGGGGACTATACTCACCTAAGGAGTGCAGCATACAAGCTGAAGCTAAGCCCCTCCACACCCTCCTATCATGGCCTCCTAAGATTCAGCAGTTGTATCAACAGTGTGCATTTGTCACCAACATTTGTCAGTACAACAGTACTGTGGCATTTACCTCTGTTGGTGTCAAAGTCGATGACCTTGCTCTTTGAGGCTCTGACTCAAGCTCCTTTTGCATTCATGGATCTCTTCATCATCTCATGGGAAGTCTTATGTCTGGAGAAGATCAACAGCCTGCCTATGCTTAGCTTTATGTCTTTGATTCA